TGGAATTTCCCCAAACACAGGCCAAATTAATTCGTATGTAAAAAGATGTCTGTCTACAATAACAGGAGTAAATGCCACATAAAGCCCCGTCCTGCTCCCATCAGAGACAATGGGAATTAAGCCACTAACTTCAAAGAGCAGCACTCTCCCTGTAGAGCGTATTTCATGCTTCTGCAGTCTTGGCTAGATTAGTGCAAATTAAACATTGGGTTAAGTTGCCAGAGCCCATAAGCACTCCATTAGGCTCTGGAGGATTTGGCTAATTTTAGTCAAATACTTACCTATTTTACAGAATACATGCAAAATTCATTCACGGGATAAGCCCACTGAACTCATTGGAATGCCACTAATGAATTTGGCCTCAGAGCTCCACTGTCTCCACGTTTATAACCACTGTTTCCACACTAAAAATGCAATGCAGGTTTATATACCTTATCAAATCTTCAGAAATAAATATTTTGTACTGAGCATACAAAATAATTTAATAAGAGTTGTAAACAAGTGGCTTTGACAAGTGCTAAAGGATCTAATCATCAAATCATATTCTGAGTGTGCACAAGTCCTTTCTTGCCGGTAAAGCAATCAAGGATAGGGCTGTCTGCAGTGCCTCCTTCCAGCACTGCTCACTGTCCTATATGCCAGTGAATGGCAGGCTGCCCCAGGGAGCTACAAGCTACATTTTTCAATCATCTGTGCTTTATGTTAAATACACTTACAAGCAGCCAAGTAGCATCCCCAGAGGGTCTTCCTATGACAGAAGGATGTTAACAATACACTTCTGCCTTTTTTTTTTTTTTTTTAATATGCTTCAGTTATAGCCCTTCCTGAATAATCTCCTAATTAGCGAGGAGTTAGTCTTGAGTTTTGATTCACAGACTGCACAGATAGAGACCCAAGGTGTCTCTCCCTAGCTCCATGCCCCAGGATTTTGGGCTCAGCATGGGCAAAGCCCTGCCTGGGTTTCAAGCCTTGGCTCTGCCCCAGCTGATCACAGCCTCCTGGCTGCCCATGGGGAACCACATCTCCAGCATGTCCCTTGGCCACCACATCCCCAGGGCAGACCAGTGCTGCCATCCCTCCTCAAGCCTTCTGACATCTGATGCAAGCGCTGGAGGAGCTCATTGCTAAGTATTTTTTACTGTGCTTGGAACCACTGCCTTGCAAGCTGTCAGAGCTTCTGGTTGTTAATACAGATATAAATATCTTAGGAATTAATTATTTATTGAGGGTATCCTCATGACTTGGGCATTTACAGAAAGCACACTCAGAGACAGGCAACACTCTGTTGAAAGACAGAAAGACAGAAATCATGCACCAGCATAGCCACATCCTTGGGAAGGCCACATACAGTGCTACTTTTCACTGGAAAAGTTATATTCAGAATTTGTATGTGGAAACGTGAGCACTCAAGCAGCTAATTGGCAGAGGGATGTCTTGCTGTACACATCTTCTGAGCTGTTTTAATTATACAAAGACACCTTGTTGTCACACTGCTATTATAAATAATGCTTAATGTTGAAGTTTGTTTGAATTAAGTGCTATGGGGATTTTTTTACATTACGATTCTCCTTCAGGGAGAATTCCATGTTACAAACACAGCACACACATGGGGTTTTGAGGCAGATGGATTTCCCCCGCTTCCAGACCATTCAAATTATTATTTTTAAAAAGCTTCTGGGTCTATTCCTGGCTGCTGCTTCAAAATTGGGTACTTCTGCAAATTGCTTGGTTAACAAAAGCAGGGGGAAAGCATTGCTGTTGCTTCAAAACAGACAATTACAATGAGTCTGAAGCATAACAAAATGTCTCATTGATTTTGTCCCAGAGGACCAGTGTAAATGAATAACCAAAGACGCAATGAAGCATGTAATATTAGTGCATGCAACATTAGTTGTGCTCTATTGTTTTTAATCCTTTTATTCACCTTTGCCCTCTGTGGTCACCTACTATGGATGGGGAAATGAATGTACATAGTTCTAATATTCAATCATTCATAAGAAAAATCATTTCCAGGCAACAGTAGAATGGTTGATGATAAGGAAAGATTCTACTCTGTTACTGCAACGTAAGAGCAGGGAAGGAGACTCTGCTCCTTCACTGCATTTTTCTGTATAGGCAATACTTAGGGTAACAGTATAAAAACAGATTCTAATTTGGACTTGCACTGTTTGAATTTCTGGCCACTAGAGATAGTCATTTTTCTTCTTGAAAATAAATTTTATATTTAAACTTCAGGACATTGTAGAACTAGTACCGAGATGCATTTTTCCTGCCTTCTCTGTTCATGATGCTAAGTGCACTCTGAAGGGACATTGTGCACAACCTGGTTCAAGAGAGGACCATTTACCAGTGCATTTTGTTACCTAGTGTTTAAGACAGGAAAAAAAAAAAAAAAAAGACAGAGAGAGAGAGAGAAAAGAGCAGTAAATGATCAGTTGTAGCAAATATTCTGGAGTCATTTCTTCAAACATGTGATGTAGAGGTTTGTCCCTGGGCTGAAATAGATCCCATTCTCTATTAGGCTAGAAAATTCTCAGAACAGATGCTCTACTACCTTTAGAGATGGTTCTTCTCTAAAAGATTATCTCCAGCCAGGGTATCTGTTTCTGTGATGGAGAATGTTGGTTCTGTATGTTTCCATTCGGCAAAGAAAGTTAATAGCTAAAAAAAATAAAATACATTAATCAAAAGGAAAAAAAAAAAAAAGTAGAAAGCAGTGAAACAGTAGCACAGGAGCTGTCAATCCTAAAGTTTCATTCCTAGAAGCCATGAAAGTGAAATTTGGTTAATCATCCTTAGATATGGCTGAAATCAGCTTTCATTACTGAAGTGGAATAGATTTATTGTCATGGGTTTCTCTGCAACTTTTCAGAGCACAGATAATTCTGTGCATCTCTCCACTCAGCACCACTGTTTTCAGATCACCATCTGTCTGTGAAGCAAATCTCGATCTCTGGGACATAGCGATCAAATCTATTTTTGACTAGAAAGATGTTGGTGAGAAACTGCAGGTCTTCCTTTACTGCAAGGTCTGGCCATACTGTGCTATGACTCCTACTAGTATATTTTTGTATCATATATGGAAAAATACAGCCATGATTATTCTGTTAGGAAAGCCACTTTCTACTGACATCCTGGAAGTCTGACACCTACATCTTTGGAAAGATTTCAGCCTGGATGTTTCTATGTTCCTGGGCTCTCAGTTGTTCTACATGACTGCATAAACTGTGCAGGGAAAGTACCCATTTACTGCGGGAGTGACTTGGCAATTTTGTTTTTGGAGTTGCAGACTGGCAGGAAATAAATCTATTCAGTTGTGCTGGGCAGCAATGCCCAGCAGTAAGTTAAATTAACCCACATTGTGCTATTCTGCCTAGGCTTTTTGACACCCAGAACAGCTTTCCTTAAGGCTAGAAATGATACATCTCCAATACACTGCCATGCCGAGTACTTAAAGGAGAAAAGTAGAATTTCAGTACACTTTTCTTTCATGTCCTGCTCTTTGACAATTTAGACCATACACTTTGTTCCACACTATTCTACCTATGCTTGCCTCTTCAGGGTAGCTCTAACATCTATAGTGAATCAGTATGAAAAAGAAATCAATAAAACTGAGTAGTTCAAGAATGTGAGACTAATATTCAAGATAGTTGTACTAAGAAATTATGAAAGTATAGTAAGAGAAGTATATAAACAGAGGGAATGAAATGCTATGGCAAATTCATGTAAAATAAAGTTTAAAACAGAAATGGGAATAAATGAAGATTACTACTAGGCAACTTGTAGCCCTGTCCCTACTTTACCAGGTCATAAATAACAACATTCAAGAACAGATTGTAAGTCTTCTTTAAGATGGAGGGTCATTATAGGAAATAGAGAAGACGATCCAGGGAAAACAAAGAACTGAGTCCAAGTCCTCTTCCATTTTCACATCCTATGTGCTGTGATTTGAATCAGAAACCAGTATAGAACAGTCAGCCATCATACCCCAAGACAGAACAACAATATCCATTTACACTGGCCTTATTCTTACAGTATTCTTAACACAGATTTTTAAAAAATTAATATTTACTAAGGAACAGTACTAGAATATTTTACAGCCCACTGGGTCTTCTGAAGAGTGCAGCAACAAACAATTTAGAAATAGAAGAAAACATGCTATTTGGTTCTTTGAAATTAAGCCAGTTGCACTTTATAAAAATGCTATTTGAAATGACAAACCTGACATCTTTTTCCTTGTATAATTCTGCAAAGATATGTGCTTTACAAAGACAATCATTCTTAAGAGTGTAAGCGTTATTAGGTTTTCTCTGCTGATCTTCAAGGTGTAAATGACAGGTAACTTAAATGCCCTGCCAAGTGCAAATTTTCTTTGAAAAACATCTCTCAAAAATATGATTTTCTGTTTTACATAAGACTTCACAATCCATATTACGTCTAATCCTTTAACTTGTATTCTTCTGTTTTATCTTTACCTGCAGGATTTTGTGTGAGCAGTGCATATGGCTTTAAGTATTAGAAAAGTAAATGGTGTCTTGAATGGCAGAATTAAATTCAGGAGCATTCTGCATTGATCAGAAATCACCTTTAAAATATATTCCTGCAGGCAGTTGTTCTACTAATTCCTGGAAACAGACAAATATCGATCTAATCCCAAAAGTAACAACTGTCAGTATAGCGAGTTTTCTGTGACCCATATCGTGTCTAACTCTGACAAGAGAGAAGAAGGGTTCTCCAGCTGGGAACAGAATTGTGCTACTGTTTTCTGACATTTGCTTTGATTTTTCTCTGTCAGCCCTGTTGATCAGCAAGCAATGTATTAATATAAACCACCCAGCAGAAATGGGTTCAGAATCTGAAAACCATGAAGAGAACAGGCAGAGAGAGCTGGGTCAGACTGATGTAAATGCACTTTTCCTTATAAGAAGAATCTTTAAGCATAAATAATCATTTTGTATAAGGTTGACCACAAAACTGAATGCCCAAATATACATTTAATCAAACAAACCATTTACCAGTCTGTTAATCTGGGGTGAGACTAGACTGAAAAACAAGGGATAAGGAGAAGAGGGGTAAAAGCAGTACTTCTGGGCCGGCTAAGATATGCTTATTTCCCAGAGCAAGCATAAAAGCTGTATAGGGAGTCCTAAGAGGCTGTCACAAGGACATAACCTTAAAACAAGGCCATTCAGTGAGCAAATTGAGGTATCTGAAGTCAGAACAGTCAGCCAGAGAGCAGATCTGAAAAGAATAAGGCTTCCTAGAAAAAACAAGGAGATGAGAGGAAGGGAGCTCTCTCACCAGCCCCCTGTACACGTCCAAGGCAGCTATGAAGGCAGCAGCTCAGTCCTCTTCTGAGGCAGCGCGGACTCCAGAAGCAGTGAACAAGCAGCTCAGATTCTAATGTCAGCACCTACAAGCCTAAAGGGAACTGTAAATATGCCCCTCTCTTCCACCAAGTGCTTATATACCCACAACAGCACCCAGGTGCTCACTCTTGTAGCAAACTTACAAAAGCTCTTGGTGTTCTTTGACGTTCACCAGCCAGATAAGAGCTCAAAGTCAAGCAGTGAAGAATATCCGTTCACCCTGTTTTGAGTGGAAGAATAAGACAAAATTGAATCTTTCACCTAATAACATTTCTAATCAAATCAGGAAACTTGTCTACAGACTGAAGTATTGATGAGGCATTATATCAACAGCAGTGGTCACTGGTAAGGGGTCTACTGTCCTCTCAGAGAAGCTGTTGAATCCAGGCTTTCTTATTATTTTCTAGTGCTTTACTCAATGAGAGGTGCTGATTTATAGGGAGTTTGAGGACTTGGGGAAGAAAGATCAATAGCTTTTCAGTGAATACTAAAAGTTATTTGTGGGAATTCAGAATTAAAAACAAAAACAATAGAACAGCAGCAACCCTCCCTGCCCACCTCCCCAACATCAGTCACTGCTAGAGAGGATGAGGGCAGCCACTCTTTGGGGCTGAGGGACTGGTGCCCAAATTGCATCCCTCTCTACTCAACCCCTTGACTCAACTGTAGGATGGACAATTATGAACCTCCCAACAAATGCAGAATGCAGGGAGACGGGACTTACTCTTGGACATATCAGGGCTTACTTTGGACTACCACAGAGGTTAGACTCGGACAGACTCAGCCCAAAAAGATGCTTATTGCCCAGCTGAAGGCTCATTACAGCGGTAAGCTGTGCGGGCACAGGGAACCCAGCTTTCCTGAGATGCATCTGACTGCGTGTGCACATGAATGGACTGTAAATCCTGGCTGCACAATTTCTACACAAGAATAATAATAACAAAACAAACAAACAAAAATCCCACAGTTTTTCTGTAGGCATATTGTGTGGTTCAATTATGCACAAAATCTGTCTGGTGTTCTCCTAACCATATGACTTACTTTAGGAGGACACAGCATTATATAGCAAATGCACGACAGTCCAACACATTCTGGCAACACTGGACTAACTGAACAAGACCACAGATTTGATTTGCAGATACAGTGTAGAAGTGCTTGTTCTTAATGGAGTACAAGTTGATCTGTTTAAGAATATTTTTATTTGGTTCACAAGGGCTAAACTTCTTTACACATATGAAAGTTCACACTCCCTCAAGGAGCAGAGGAAGGAAGTGAACCCTGGTTTTCACTTCCTTGACTCGGAGAGACAATTAAAAATGGATTAATACAGTTATCAAGAGCCACACATTTATTTTATTATTTTTTTCCTTTCTCATTTTGGAGAATTTCAGCAACATTCCCAAGTAGCTTGCAATTCACTGAAAATATTTTGGCAAATAAAAAAGCAGAACATTTGCACTGAAAAATACTAAAAAGTAAAAACACAGCTTATTTAAAAAAGCAAATTATTTGTGCTTAAGACCATCTGTTTCTTGTGCTCATGTAGTTTAGATTAAAATACTTTATTTCCATCTACTAATTAGGACTATTTATTACTGACACTTCTCACATATTTATACAAGCTTGAAACACAATTCTTATACTTACTTTAATATGGCATCAACACAAATGAAGGATGACTCTTGAGAGTCTCTGGAAAACATTGAATCATGTCAAATCCTAATGAAACTGGTGGTAGCTATCAGGCTTGGGAGAAACTCCCTACAAGCTTTAGAATGAGGCCCTGGGTTAGCTGAATTATGGTTTCCTGAAAAACCAATTAGCACTGGAGATAGCTAATAACAGATCAGAGCTGGGAGACCATCTGAAGAGGATTTTTTTTTTTATATATATAATAATTGCAAAGTTTGTTTCAAAAGAATTAATTCTGTAGAAATATTTATTCCTGAAATTAGAGATCAACAATTCTGCTGAAGATTATGTAGAAGTGACAAAGATGATCAATTATTCACCAAATTACTATACTCAGTTTTGGGACTGAAAAAAAACAACCAACCAACCAACACAAACAAAAGGCAAGTGTTTCTTTCTGGTTGCTTACAGAAACACAGCATTTTGTGTTTTGAAAAAAAAAAAAAAAGATAGGAACACAAATACTTAAATGGCATTAATTTCTACATAGGCATTTAAGTTATTTCAGGTATGGAAAGATTATAGCTCTTCTCATAAATGTGACGTTTAAATTGATGGGTAAGGATAACAATTTCCAAAACTAAATGGTAATCAGGAGTGAGGACAGTAAGGTAGATGGAAGCAACATCACCAGATATAAGCATACAGACTGGAACATCATATCCTAACCTCTAACCTCCTAGCTCCTTCTGACTCCTCATGGATAGTAAAAAGGCATCTAAGCCCTTCTAGGAAGATAAGGAGGTAAGATGCAGATTGCACAGTAGAGTACAAGCCTTCACCTGGGAAAAAAAGAGAGGTGCATTAAAAAAACATTAAATGAGCCAAGATATGAAAGTCTTGCACAGAAATATATATGGGGCCATGAAGACAGTTATGAATGCAAGTGTTATTTATAGTAATATTTATTACTTTCTGTGTCTAGTACAAATTGCATGGTTCCAGCTGAGAAGCAACTTTCCTAATATCTGATGGATTTTACGTAAAATAAAGGTTAAGTGTTTAAAAATAGATAAAGGAACAACAAATAAGGTAGATTAGGAAATACTACAAATTAATATTTTGTGTCAATACTTTGTCAAAATTTTAGTCCTGTCCTTTTGATCCATTTCTATGGACAAGACTGTCATGAGCCATTTAGTATTGACAATAAGTCATTGGCATCATCCTTATCATTCTCACTTAACTCTCTAAGGATTTTTTTTTTTCCCTCTGGAGTGATTGCAAGTCTCATTCTACCAAGTGTAGATACTTTAAAATGAATCAGGATACACTGTTACCCTACAGCCCTCCAAATAACTCTTGCTTCATTTCTTTCTTAATTACGCTTAACCTGAACAAATATCCCTGTATAGAGAAACATGTCCACAACACAACAGAACCCTTCACAAATGACTAAAGACAAAGCTTATTAGAGTTACAGTTCCAGTTATTAAAATAAAAAGCTTTTTTTGTTTGTAGTGTCCCTCAAACTGAAGGCTTGGGGCAATTGCCACCAAAACCATTATCTCCCCCCAGGATTTGATTACCATTGTTTTTCATTTCAAATAGGAACCAGCAATCTGCATATATTAATCCTCATGATAAAAAGCATCAGTCTGCTATGTGAACAAACAACAACTGAGCAGAGAAGAGCATTTTGGCCTGAGGACAAGTATGGTGGAGTGCTGGAATCACTGTTACCCTGCTCCCCTCACTGCATGGGCAGGCGGCCTTCCTAACTGCCCAGGCCAAGCAACACCTGTATTTATAATGGTAGAAACACCCACAGAAAACTAAAGAGTGCAGAGGTCTTGGGAGCAGAAGGGGCTAGTTCAGAACCTGAATGGAGCCTTAGACTAATCCATTGGCAAAATCAGATCCAAAAACTGACTAGGTAAAAGTCTCTTCAGCAAGTAAAACACCAACATGCTATAGGATACATAACAATTTAGATCTTTAACTCTGACCCACTACTCAGCTTCACAGGCATATATGAAGAAGTTTTCTGTGTGGGGGGTGATGTGATTAAGCAAAGCTTCCTTTCCTATTCTGATTATTTAGAGATTTTTTAAAGCACTTCCACATTCGATTCACAAGCACTCTTGTATACATTTACCTTATTTGTGCTAAAACTGGTTTCAGGAGCCCTGATAAAACAAAGCTATTTCAACCAGAAGGCTGTAACAACCCTTAAAATAGGTGTCAGGAAGCACTTACCTAAATGAGTATTTCTGCATGCACAGTTTCAAAGAGCAACAGCAGCTGTGCCCTCACTGAGCTGTGCAAGCTGAGTGGAGACCTGGCAGCACTGGGGTTCATATGGAACTGGTATCTTCTACCGTAAAGCACTAGCCAGGTGCTCCCTGTTAGCAAAGTAAAAGGGAAAGAAAAAGTGTGAGCTCTTAGGGCAGAGAAAATGCTCCTAACCATATGGAACTTTTGTTCAAGAACAGGCTTACATGAAAGGTATTTCATACAGTTTTCACACTATGCTGTCTTAGTTACCTGAAGACTGTATTAGCATGATTTCAGCATAATTACACAATCAAAACTAGGAGTATGTGCTCCCAAGCATTCACTCAAGCACACATGCAAACCAGTCTGTTGACTGCAGTACAGATTTTCTGACTCAAGCAGTAAATTTGTATTTCACTGTCTCATCTACAAAATAACAATAGTTCATGTGAACTGCACAATGCCACAGAAAAACCTGAAATATCAGCTTCTGATATGATGCCGTGTGCCTCCCAAGAGCTTCTCAGTGAAGGGACTAGTTTCTCCATTTTTAAGGCTTTGATCCTAAGGCAGCCTTTTCCCATTGAGCCAGAAGCTTGATTTGGATCTGCAAAGAAATGAGAACATGAGTTTTCTGACGGCAGGTTGGCATGGTCTCCATATTGAATTCCTCCAAAACACTTCCTAACTATAAAATTAGCAGTCCCTTCTCTCCTGACAATCTGCTGAACATCTGTTTTCAAGTCTGGACAGAGACAGCCAAATCCCAGTACATTTGCTTTGGGGCTCTTCTTGTCCAAACTCTCCACATAGGATGAATAACCTACGCTCAGCTACTTCAGCTATAAAACTCATGTCAGAGACCCCTTTGATTTCACAGCACATCTGAAAAAAATCCACTCCACACATAAAAGACCTTGAATTTAGAGTACAATTTTCTTGCCTCAGGAAGATTCTGATCCGCCACTGTTTTGACTGTGAGACAAGCGCAATTACCAGAGCAGATTAGCTTCCAGGGCAGCTCCTGCATAAGAAGGGGGACAGCACCCCTGCGACTATGTCAAGTGACTTGGAAATTGTCGCCGGCCAAGAATGCAAGAAAGGTTAGTGTGCATGAGCCCTGGCAGGCCACAGCCTCTAAGCACTTCTACTCCGTGCTTTGGACATTTCTATGCCTATGAGTCTATGTGACAAAGTGGAGGAATTGTATTAAAACAGATGTGTTTCAGGCAAACAGGGTCTTAAAGCTCTTTGGAAAACGTCTGCAGAAAGAGTGAAAGTCACTCAGTCCATGTGTGTCCTAGTGGTTAAAAAGCAACATGCTCAAAAGGAACCATATGGGGAGTTTCTTTATAATACAATCCAAGACACACAAAAATCACTCATTAGTTTGTAAAGATTTTGCTTCCCATTCTGCGATGAAATTTTCCCACAATGTGACATTCAATAAAAACAGTACAGGAGTACTAGTAGTGCTCAGCATAAGTATTCAAGACATATCTAAATCAAACCGCTGTGTAAATGCTATGATAGGAAGGTTTTAAAAAGAGATAAGAATCTGATGACATAGTGTCAAGGCACTTCTTTGCATGCAAGCAGGTGTGCTGTTAGTCCTACCTTTTTTTGCCCTGGAGTGGTTACAACAACATCCTTCCCTCTGTTTCTTTGGGAAAAGGCATTGAAGATAAGTTGTAAGCAACACTTTATACGCATTTGCTTCCTAGGAATATAATAATGGCTCTATTGGGTCAGAAGTACATCAACATCCCAATTCTGTCTTTGATGGATGTGTAAGAAAAGCATGGAGTGATATTTCCTCCAACAGGCCTCCCCAGTCACCAGCAAGTTTTAACTTAAAGATTTCCAGAGACGGTGCTTTTGTATGAGTAGTCCCAACAGATCTTTTATTTGTATAGTTACCTTTTAAATCAATTACAGCTCTCATCTCTATACTGTCTTGCAGCAATGAGTTACATAGATTATTTCTTTTTGTGAAGTTTTTTATTTTGTTTTATTCCTACCTTTTGGTAATTCCATTTGATATTGCATTATTCTTATAAAATGAGAAATCGAATACGTGTTTGCTGTTCTTTGCCTATTTCACTCAAAATTTACAGATCTTTATCATATTTTTGCACCATTTTATTTTATTTTATTTTATTTTTTTTATTTTTCCATCCTGAAATTGTTTATCTGTTTTATCTCTCCTGGATACAAGGCATTCCATGCTTTATTAGCCACCTCTGTATCCTCGGTTTTACCTTAGTCTTTCTGAGACAGATTATGGAAACATATCATTTACCTTAACCAACTGTATTATTTTCTTCTAAATGAAAATTTGTAAAGATGGAATAGAATAAAATATAGCTGTTTCATTTAAATACATTAAAGGGGGATGATGGCGAATTTGAACAAAATTTTGAAAATGTGTTTCCTAAGCTTTAAAAGAACAGCTAAAACCCCTTGAACTACATTATGTTGACAAAATCCAGCATCTCACAGAACCAGTCTGTAAAGTCTTATCTAAATCCAGTTCCAATGACCCTTTTATTGCACTGCCTTTAGATTTAGTATAAAACAAAATAGTATCCTGGAGGGTTAATATTTTCAAAAAACAGCCCTAGTTGAAGACAATCAGTGCAGCTTTTGATAAAACTGATCAAAGGGCAATTCTTGACAGCTTGGAAACATGAAATGTTTGCCCTCTTTTAGTTTTGCTCTTTCAAGACCAGTGTTTTTTTCGTAGAGTAGCAAACATTATTCCTGTGTTGTTTAACTTTTACAC